GGGAAAACCCAGGAGATGGGGATGAACGTGCCTTGGGGCAGGAAGTGTCCGTCACAACTGGAATATTTCCTGTTGAGTGACTTTGTCCCATTCACACCGGCACAGGCAATCCCTGGAATTTTGAATAGGGCACTGCCAAACTGATGTGTCACTGCTACTCTCTTTTGATGCTTGTTTTCTTGAATTGAAGTTCTGCTTGCAAATCTTCCCACATAAGTTAGGCAGGAGGACATTAAGAGCAGGGCACTTCCACAGAAAGCCGTGGCCATCCTGAGTGTGTGGGTTTAAAGTAGTTCTGGGGTGGCCTTTCCAGGGTCATCCTTCTCAGGGCTGTGCTTGCTGCCCAGCAGGTGGAGAGCTGAGTCACCAAGAACACAGTGGAAAGGGAGGGGCAAAAAGCAAAGGGTTTATATTTCCTCTTGAGGGACACTGCTCCAATCTCAGCTGCCCAACTGTCCACTTCACCATCGGGAAGCAAAAAGGTAAAGAGAAATACTTCTGTGCTGGAAGCTTTATTATCTCAGCTGTGCTTGCTGTCAAAGGGGAGCAGATAAAAGCAGTAAAATACAGCCTTTGTATAGGCATGTTTAGCCAAATGAGGGGTCTGCTTACGATGTAATTGAGTGTGGCTTGCTCTGATATCCTGACGAACGTGGCTCGGCTGCTACCCAAAAGGGCAGCAGTTCGAATCTACCATCTGCTCCTTGGAAACCCTATGGGGCAGTTCTACTCTGTCAGAATTGACTTGACGGCAATGAGTATGTCATGAGTAGTATGCATATTAAAATCTTTGATGCAAGCTTACTGGATTTCAAATCTCTGATTTGTTTAGCCAAAAGGAACCCTGTTGATGCTGTTTCATTGTTCACTAATAATCTTTATTCAAAACAGAGCTAGTCACACGTGGTCATGGCATCTGTGCCATGAAGCACCTCTCCGCACCTTAGAAGAACTGACCTTCTTAATAACATTATAATTCTTTTATTTTTCTGGGTCTCAGTTTCCTCTTCTGGCTTTAAAATTAGTCTGTTACATAACATGTGCAGTCTCTTAAGGGCATGTTTGTGTGACAGGGTTAAGATTCTGAAATTCTTAGGAAATGAGCATATGTAAAATTTTAAGTTTGAAGGGCAGAGAGTGAGAGTAAAAGGATAGCTGTGATTTAGGCGAGGAGAGGTAGGCACAAGGAGCCTTGGTAAGGTTAAGTCATGACAGCGGATTCTTGGGAAATGGGCAAGAATCTACCCAGACTGTGTTCCAGTTTGTAAGGACCTGGCGTCTTAGCTATTCTTGGACATGTATTTCCCCATGAAGGACAGACACAGACCTCTGTCCTCTTGCAGTTTTTAACATTAATACCTCCTGCTAAGACATATTCCCCTCCTTCTCACACTTCCTTTTCTTCTGGCAATCCCCCTTCTTAGCCTAGAAGGGCTACAATCTTGGACATTTTTCTTCTCCCTTTCTTCCACGACAACTTCCAGATGAAGTATTTCTCATTTTTGGAAGATATTTTTCTCACCCTAAAAGTAGACATAGAGTCTACTCAAGGGAAGTTTCTGCAATTATTTCCACTTTGGGGGTTCAATTTGAAGTTCTTCTACTTCTAGGACACTTCCAGCTTTCCCTCACCCCCTGGGTGGGGACTCCTCTGGGATATGGATCTTTGACAGCATTCTGTGTCCCTTGGGACTTCTGTCTTCCTTGAGCTCCTCTTCCCAGAGGAACTACTTTAACAAAAAATTGTAAAATATTTAGAATTTTGATTTCTCTAATATGTATTAATTGCTGGGTAATTGTGCAAGACGCTGATAATTTCAAAAGTAAATTTTCTCTGCCCACAATGAATGTTCAATCTAGTGAGGAAGACCAACATATTCAATGAACCAAAATCTGTGCATTCATCCACACGACCCTATATACATGTAAACGCGGTTACCCAGATACAGAGGGAATTGTCAATAAAGATTATTGCATCAGATCAGTTGAATGTAAGATTAACACGGACATTCTGTTGTGAAAGAACTATGCTAACAGTTAGAATGGCAGAATTTTGGATAATCAGTGGAGAAAGGATAGACCGCCAGTGCTACCTGAATGATAGTTAAAACTCTGTCTTGCAAATAAGCATGCTAAATACCAAAGTTCATGAATTAATTCAAATTACACATGCCTGATAATTTTGGGGAAAAGTATGAACTTAAAGTTTTCCTACTTGATGTCATGAACTAAATGCTTGAAGAGCTGTCAGAGCTACCTGTGAAGTGAGGCAAATAATAGTATATTTATTAACCGTTAACTATCAGATTAGCCCTATTAATGCTTTATATATTGGACAAAACTGCTTTTTTTTTCCCATTAAGATACTATCCTTATAAAACAGGGATGATAATAAGCATAGTGTAATAAAATAAAATCATTTTACCTCAAATAAAAAACAAAATCCTTGCTTTCATGGGGGTTGCATTCTGATGGGGAGGAGGATCAGACAATACATATCTGTATAGTATGTCAAGTGATATTATGATGATATATACTATGACAGAAAATAAACTTGAGTAATGGGATGGAGGGTGCCTGAAGGGACAGGAGCTGATATTTCAAGTAGAAAGGTCAGGGAAAGCCTTATTGATGAGATGTATGGACAGAGATAATCAACTGCTAGAGTGAGCCTTTTGACTATCTTTGGGAAGAACGTCCCAGAAGAAGGTATAGCAAGTGCAAAGACTCTGAGGTGGAATGTGCTTGGCATGTTGAAGGAACACAAGGAATTGATGTGGCTAAAACAGAATGAGCTGGAGAGAGAGTGCTAGGAGAATGAGATCTGAGAGGTAGCAGGACCAGACCATGGAGGGCCTGGTTGATCCAAGTAAGGACCTTGGCTTCTACCCTGAGAGAGACAGAAGCCACTGGAGTTTTTGAGCAGATGAGTACATAACCTACTGATATTTAAAAAAAAATCACTCTGGCTTCTCTGTGGATATATAATGGAGGAGAGTAAAGATAGAGGTAAGAAGAGGAGTTAGGAAACTTTTAATAATCCAGGAGAAGAATGATGATAGCTCTGACCAGGGTGGTAAATGGAGGGATGAGAAAGGGAAGGATTGTGAATATTTTTGAGACAGAGAAAACAGGATTTTTTGATAGATTGAATGTGATGTGAATGAGAGAGTATCTAAGGATGATCCCAGGGTTTTTAGCCTGAACAAATGGAAAAATAGAATTACCACTTATGGAGATGAGGAAGGCTGTCAGCCTGGAGAGAGGGATTAGGAAAGCAAGAGTTTGTTTTTGGACATGTTAAGTTTGAGATACGTATTAGACATTCAGGTGGAGTTGTTGAGCAGGTAATTGGATACATGAGTCTGGGATTCAGGAACTGATAGCATATCAGTGACATTTAAAGCATAGATTTGGATGAGATCCCTTGGGTATGAGTGTCAATAGAGAAGAGGCCCAAAGTCTGAATCCTAATGTATTGTGATGTATAACCAAAACCAGATGCCATCAAGTCAGTTCTGACTCATGGTGATCCGTGTGTGTCAGAGTGGAACTATCCTCCACAGGGTTTTCAATGACTGATTTTTTGGAAGTAAATCACCAAGCCTTTCTTCCGAGTCACGTCTGGGTGCACTGGAGCCTCTAACCTTTCAGTTAGCAGCTGAGTATGCTAACCATCTGCACCACCCAAGGACTCCATTATGATGTACAGGGGTTAGGGATGTGAGAAAGATCCTGCAGAAGAGACTCAGAAGGAAGGAGGGACCAATGAGGTAAAAGATGAACCAAGAGAGAACAGGGACCTAGGATTTAGAGGAAAAAAGTGTTCCATGGCAACGGAGATGATTGAAGAATGAAAGCTCCCTGAAGGCAGAGACCAAGCTTGATCATTTTTGTATCTACAGCACCCTACAGTTAGCAGTGCTCAATAAATACACTCTTCCTTCCTGACATGCCATTGCCCTAAAGTAAGACATATTCCAACATCTGTTCTTCCCAGGATTTTCTCTTCTATTTCTACACTTTCACTGACATTATGACTGGGGCCCAGGGTTGAGGGCTTCGGTCATCTTGTTATGGTAGCACTTTTTCATTTTGTTAGCTGCCATCGAATAGGCACCCTACTCATGGTGACCCCACGCACAACAGAAGGAAACATTGCCTGGTCTTGCGCCATCGCTATGGCTGGTTGCAGATATGGTTGTCACTGGCTTATTTTTAGAAGTAGATCGCCAAGTCTTTCTTCCCAGTCTGTCTTAATCTGGAAGCTCTACTGAAACCTGTTCAGCAGCACAGTAATACACAGGCCACCAGTGACAGACAGGTCTTGGCTGCTCATAAAGTGCGTTGACCAGGAATCAAACCTAGGTGTCCTGCACGGCAGGTGAGAACTCTACCACTGAACAACCAGTGTCCTCATGGCAGGACCTACTTGCTGGTATTGCCTTACTTTCATGAGGTCCCACAAAGGAGATGAAAACGTGCAGATAATTTTGCACAAATTTGCTTTATCGATGATCAACTTGTTTGTGCAAGAATGACAGATATGGAGCTGTTTTCTGTGAGGCTGTGAAGGTGAGTAGTCTAGTGGAAAAATATCTGGTCTGGCTAAGCTGATGTATTTCAACACTTTTTCTACACAAATTCCTGGATGAGGAGTGTCTTAAAGCATGGAAATTAAGAGCACAAAGATCCAATACCTTCTGCTCTATTGCGCCAGAACAATTATGGATCATTTTTAAATGTACACAAATAATAGTGAGAGAGCTGTGAACAGTTGGTTGAAAGGAATAATAAATCTTCTATTCATTAGATTCTAAAGCTACTGTGAATTCTCCCCTCTGGCATTCACTCATTTCTCAGAAATTCTGACAAGGTATGTGATTTTCTATGAAGCTGTGTGCTCAGACACTTAAAATTATGAAATGTAATAACTGAACTGGAGATATTATTTGTATCATCAAGTGATATTCTAAGACTGTTTTTCCTTCTGTTCGCAGGCAGTGCTCAGCATACACCATGGGTTCCCTCAGCACAGCGAACGTTGAATTTTGCCTTGACGTGTTCAAAGAGCTGAACAGTAACAACATAGGAGATAACATTTTCTTTTCCCCTCTGAGTCTGCTTTATGCCCTGAGTATGATCCTCCTTGGTGCCAGAAGAAACAGTGCAGAGCAAATGGAAAAGGTATGGAACACAACAAAGATTTCCCCAAACGAAAAAACCCATTGCCATCGAGTTGATTTTGTCTCATAGTGACCCTATAGGACAGAGTAGAACTTCCCCATAAGGTTTCCAAGGCTGTAATCTTTATGGGAGCGGACTGACACATCTTTCTTCCCACAAAGCGACCACAGACCTTTTGGTCTGCAGCCCAGAGCTGAGCCACTGCGCCACCAGGGCTCCAAAGATTTCTCCATAGTCTAGAAATCTTTCATTTGCCCACTATGGGTCAGTGAAATCACTCGCATCTTTATACCAAGGAAATGATCATCTTGTGAAAGATAAAATACATTTGGGCAAATCATATTTCTTAAAAATGGATAATGGTTTAAGTAACGCAATTACATAGTCTCTTACTTGCTATCAGTAGCACCACAAATAAATCTCTGCAGTTTACTTTTGGAATTCTTCCTCTCGTGATTTAAATGTGTTAGAGAACACATGTGTGGCTCTAGTCTTGCCCTCTGCAGTTAAATTTATAATAAAACCTAATGACTTACATTTATAGGACACTTTAAAAGTTATCAAGTTCTTTATTTTGTAAATATTCATTGTTACATTTGAACTTTATAACAACTCTGCGTAGGGGGTAGGGATTGTAACCCTATTATATGAATGAGAAAACTGAGACTCACAGAGGAAGGTTTTCAGGTTACATAGACTGATATCCTGTGATTTTTCCATTGTATATTTTTTTATTGCTGTAGAAAGTCAAGAAAAATGTCACTAAACAAATCTTAGGATACTTACAAATCTTATCATTTTTATCATTTATTTCTTTATTCCATATCTCAATGCACTTTCATGATTTTCTTGTACTTAAAATAGATATTGTGCTGGGAAAACATGTAATGTCTTACACGGCCCCAGGTGGGCACTGTCCTAGGTAATGACCTGAGAACAAGCGGAGAGAGACAGAAGAGTCTAGTGGATAAGAGCCCAGTCCCTGGAGCCTGACAGACAACTGCCTGGAACAAGTCGTTCAATCTTTCTTGACCTCAAGTTTTCTAACTATAAAATGAGGGTAATAGCATCTACTCATAAAGTGGTTGGGAGGGTTAAATAATATAAGACACGTAAAGACGTAGTTCAGGACTTGGAACATAACATTATAAAATGTTAGCTATTATCATTGGTCTTTATCTGAAATGGACTTTATAGACTGGACATTGCTTTTGATTTCAATTGATCCCTCTTTCTTTTTCTAGGTGCTTCACTTTAATCATGTTGTAGAATCACTAAAACCAGGGTTTAAGGACTCATCTAAGGTATGATTATGTCACTGCTGAGCTGTCGAACGGCCTTTAACATAAGAGCACCAAGAAATAATAGCTCAGGGTTGAGTGGAGTCTCCTGGTTGGCCCATAAGGGAGCTAGCAATGTCTCCTTTTGTCTCCTCCTTTGATCTTCCTGATAATCACTACAGCCTACAGAGTTTAATATAATGATAATAATAACAATAATAAAGTCCTCCAGATTTTATTACCTTTTTTATTGTCACCCTTTCTCAAACGTTTCTGTTCTTTTATTGACTATGCCCATGTTGAGTCTGCTGTCGTCATCTATGTAGTGTCAGATTTTTTTCAGTACAGTGAAGGGACTGAAACAAGACTCTGATGCTTTTCCATGTAATTATACACCTGGAAAACAAGGCCTGATGTGCCCAACCCACAGGTTCTGGGACTACGGTCTTTACTTTCCAGTAGGAAGATTCCTTTTGACATAAAAATTATGTAGAACTCCCACATGAAAATAGCTATATGTTTGATTGTGATTGATTGAAAAAAATATACTAATGCACATAGATTCACAGAACACTTCACAAAACTCAATTTATTCTTTGGAGATTAAGGCCTAGTTTGGGAACTATTGCTTTAGGAAATACAAACATACCCCTACAATGTCCATGAATTCTCAGCCATTTTTCCAATTCGTCAAAGCTGAATGCATAGTAGAATTTTGACCACTGAGGGACAGATGGGTGTGTAAGGTCAGTTCAATGCAGTTCTGCAGAGTTTCATTAAACTGAAATATTGAAAAAATTGTGAACAAGAAGAGAAATGATGCTATAGGCACAAAGGCACAAGAAAACTTGGATTATCACCCTGAATACCCCATCAGGATGCCCTTATTTATGTCAACTTCTGTGTTTGAGTTATGCTAGCTATTACTGGTAGGGTCAACAAGTGCGTGTGTCTTTTACAATAGTTTATGATTCTATACACGGTTTGCAACCTGAAGTCACAGTGGTGAGAGTGTTGTGCTAGAGAAAGCCTACAGAAGAAAAATGCTTTGAAACTATTCAACTCCTTGTTTATTAGTACCTGCTACCCTTTTATCCAGAGGCAAACACCTTGCTCTGTAGATGTTGTTTTCACCTTACTAATAAATCTCCAATGGCAAGAAATCAAGCAATTTAATGCACCATTCTTTGTTTACTGATGCTTCAGTGCAGCCAAGCTGGAAGGATTCATTCAGAGTTGGGAGCCTTACTGTCTCAAATCAAGCAGCCAGACTCTAACTATACCCTCAGCATTGCCAACAGACTCTACGGGACAAAGTTGATGGCGTTCCATCAGGTAAGCCCATCTGGAATGGTGGCCAGCAGCTTTCTTGGCACCCTCTGATTTTCACATCATAAAATCAGTGAAGAGTGGGAAGAGTCACACAGCATTCATCTTTAAGAGAATGACTTGAGCTGACTCAGAGTTTCAATGGGATGGTTTTACCAACTCCCATGTAAAGTTGTGAAATGTTACATAAAAGTTTACTTCTGAGAAATCCCCAGAGTTGTCCAAGAACCAGGGTGGGAGATAAACCACAAAACAAAGTAGATAAGAATTATCCCTTATGGACCAGAGGAAAAGCAAAATACATTTCTCATCTCTTCTTCTAAGGTCTTTAATGGCAGAGTATCAAGGAGTAGGGGACTGGGAGCCAAGAGACCTGAGTTGCATTCCCAATTAGACATATGACTTTGGGAAAATCATTCCCCTTTCTGTAGAATGTGAGGAGTAGATTAGTTCTTTCTGGCTCTAAAATTCTAACACTATGTATGCCATTTCCCAACAGTACTGTAACATCATTTTATTGAGTGCCTACTATGTGCCATTCACTCTACTTAGTATTTTATAGTCATTATCTCATATAATCCTTACGTAGTCCTAAGATACCAGTACACCCATTGCCGTCAAGTTGATTCTGACTCATAGTGACCCTACAGGACACATTAGAACTACCCCATAGGGTTTCCAAGGAGTGGCTGGTGGATTCGAACTGCTGACCTTTTGGTTAGCAGCCATAGCTCTTAACCACTGAGCCACCAGGGATCCATACAGGTACACAATTGCCATTAATTCTACAGATAGGGAAACAGATTCTGAAAAGTCAACTTGACGAAAGTCTCAGAGGTAATTAAATGGCCAAAGATGGATTTGATCCTAGCCAAATCCAAGTTCCTGTTTTTGTGTGTGTGTGTGTGTATGAGAACTTAATGATGACTCTATTAAATCCCACAGCCCAGTGGTAAGAGTTCCACTTAGCCAGTCTGTCTGTTTGTGCTCTCCATATTGTAGGCTAACCAATGAGGGATTTTGAAAAATGTATTCCTTTCCTTTTTAATCTTAAAAAGAAATTTTATTTATTCTGTTGCCGTTGTTGAGAATATACACAGCAATATATACGCTGATTAAACAGTTTCAGCAACACTGATTACATTCTTCGAGTTGTGCCAGCTTCCTGTCTTTAATTGTTACATCATCCTGCTGTAATTGAGGTGAGATTGGACTCAGCTTGGGACAAGAAGCTCCCTGACTCATCCTGAGGCCCAGTTTTTGCTCTGAGTGAAGCTTTGTTTTTATTCTACACTGGATTTAGGCATAAAAGGATCCAGTTGGGCAAATGGCAAACCAAACAATAGGCAGCCATTGTCATACCTGCCATAGTTCTAAGTTTCAGATCATTCTGCTTAGTTCTTGGTGGGGCACTGGGTCTTGCTGGGCCATAGAGGCATGTCCCCAAGGTCTGACAAATGGAATCATGGGCAATTCCACTGGGTCCATGGGGATTTAGTTGCTGCCTTGGCAGTGAGGCAGTGGATAGGTCATGGTTGTAGGAATCAAGGGCCATGGATGGTAACCAACGGTAGCTCCAGAATACCACATGGCAGGGGTTTAGGGGTAAAAGAGAAGGCTAGGTTCTTCACACTGAAGCTATATTTATGCACATTTTCACCTGGATAATACGTAAGAGATGAATAAAAGTAGAGACATTCTTTAAGATGCTTTTATGCATACTTCCAGGAGCCTTGGAGGTGCACTGGTTAAGTGCTCGGCTGCTAACAGATAAGTCAGCAGTTCAAACCTACCAATGAGACAGTCTGCTTCCATAAAGATTACAGCCTTGGAAACCCTATGGGGCGGTTCTACTCTGCCTTATAGGGTTGCTATGAGCTGGAATTGATGCAATAGCAACAATTTTGTTTTGTTTTGGTTATCTTTGTATTGTGTTATTGTCCTTTCTTTTACAGCAATATTTAACCTGTTCTGAGAAACTGTATCAAGCCCAGCTAAAAACTGTTGATTTTGAACACTCTCCGGAAGAAACAAGGAAAACCATTAATGCTTGGGTTGAAAGTAAAACCAATGGTAAGGATAAGTCACACACTCACAAAGGTGTCTCCAAACTTTATCTGTGCGATGTAGGTTAACTCCTTGAGTAAATGCTAACAGGAAATTGAGTGAAGTTCAGAACCTGACATAAGCAGATAAACAATTAAGGAAATGGAGGCATATTTTAGTTGGAATAATATTTAATCTATAGAATAATTTGATGAGCAAAGACATCCTTACAGTATTTATCTTTATAAAAGTCATTCCATGACTATGAAGTTCACCTCCATTTCTTTAGGTCCTCCTTAATTTCTTTCAATAACATTTTGTATTTCTCTATGTTGGAGGCTTGCATATGTTTTGATAAATTGTTTAAGGTGTTTGCTGAATTTTCGCTGGCATCTATTATTTCAAATTTTACTTGTTGGTATATAAATATATAATTTACTTTTGTATGTTAACATTGCTGAATTCACTCAATAATTCTAGTTTAGCTTTAGATAATTTTAGATTTCTGTACACACATTCATCTTCCTTCTTAGTCTTTTTTGCTTTTTTTCCCCTCTTGTGTTATTGACTAGGACCTTCAGCTGGATAGAAGTGATGATACTGGGATCTTTGTGTTGTGTCTTGTTTCCGAACTTAGGGAGAAGGCTTTTAATAATTCATCATTAAGTATAAAGTTTGCCTCAGGTTTTTTTTTTAATGAATGTTCTTTTTCAGATTAAGGAATTTTCTTTCTATTTCTAGTTTGCCAAAAATTTTACCACAAATCACTACTATTTTTTAAAACTGCATCCAATGGCCTGAAGGAGTAGTCCCTTTAGGTCTCTTGACCTAAAGATTTCTCCTCTGTCTTTTCTTTTCTTTCCTTGCGTAAAATATTTGTTGAAAATAACAAGTATTTGTCCTGCCATCTTCTGATTAGAGATAACTACATGTTCTGTATTCTTTGAAATAAATTTAATTTGACAAGGACAAGCTGTACAGCCAGAAGAGGGACCTCTTCAGGCATTTCAAATTTACAATAAGCCTTAAAGAAGCAATGGACTTTCTGGAGCCATGGAGGGTGGATGAACTCCTGAAGCTATTGCCCTGAGATAATCTTTAAATCTTAAACCCAAACTATCCCCTGAAGTCTTCTTAAAACTGAACAATAGTTTAGGTTAACTAGTAAAGACTGTCTGCCTTGATCATTGTGCTCTTTAAGAACTATCTATATGGGATCAAAATGACAAAGCAATTGAAAGATTAGATAGCAACCTTAGGGAGCAGTGAGTTTATGTTAATGGTGGAGGAACAACCCAGAAAAGGAAGGCGAGAATGGTTGCACAACTTGAATGTAATCATTGTCACTGAATTGTACATGTAGAAACTGTTGAACTGGTGTATGTTTTGCTGTGTATATTCTCAACAACAATGACAACAAAGCAATGGCTCCAAATGTCTTGTGACTATTCAACTCTCTATCATCAGTAAACTGAAATACAAAGAATTATCTTCTTCTTCTTCTTTTTTTTAATACAAGGAAAAGTCACAAACCTCTTTGGAAAGGGCACAATTGACCCTTCTTCTGTAATGGTATTGGTGAATGTCATATATTTCAAAGGACAATGGCAAAATAAATTTCAAGAAGGAGAAACGAGTAAAACTCCTTTTCAGCTAGGTGAGGTAAGGATTTCATTCTTTGATTGATGACAAATTTTGGAGAATGCAATAATTATTTAAGGACAACTTAGAAAGTTTTAGTGAAAGTGCTAGTCTGGGTTTCAGAAACCAAAAATCCAAACCCATTGTCACTTAGTTAATTTTGACTCATGTGACCCCATGTATTACAGAGTAGAATGGCTCCATAGGGTTTCCTTGGCCGTAATCCGTCCCCTCCCTGCTGTAATCTTTACAGAAGCAGATTGCCATGCCTTTCTTCCACAGCACTGCTGGGTGAGTTTGAACTGCTAACCTTTAGGTTAGTAGTCAAGCAGAAACTGCACCACTAGCTCCACTAACTGTGTTTTCTATGAATTTTCGTTTTCCCCCCGTGAAGGGACAGTAGCTTTTCTCACAGGGCACCTAACTGGAGCCTTTGGGCATTGGGGCTCACTGGCAGGGGAGATAACCTGTTCTTTTCTTACTGTTCAACTATCTATGCATTCTTTCTGTATATTCTGCCATTAATTTCTCTAGCCGCACAACATAACTGTCTGAATTATTTTTCTTTTAGAGAGTCTCTAACTGCATTAAAAAAGGAAATGATCCTATGATGTCATTTTCCCACATAAATCATTTTAGCTAGAAATCCTGGCTTTGTCTTTGGGAAGCCCAAGTCATCTATGGAGCCCTGATGGCTCAGTGGTTAAGAGCTACGGTGAGCTATGGCTGCTAACCAAAAGGTCAGCAGTTTGAATCCACCAGTTGCTCCATGGAAACCCTATGGGCAGCTCTACTCTGTCCTATAGGGTCACTCTGAGTCGGAATTGACTCGATGGTAATGGATTTAAGTCATCTATATGAATTAGAACTCTTCAGGTTTGAACCATGACTTATTTTAAAATAAGAAAAATGTGATAACCTTTGCAAGAAGAAAGTAATGAAGGATGTACTCGGTAGTTTGTATTTTACCCATGCCTTTAGAGTGTTAATGCAGATATTCATATTATGTTATACATAGGTGCACGTACACACATCTATGCTGTACCATCTAATTAACACTTTTGGTCTTTAACAGGGTAAAAGTGTAACTGTGGACATGATGTATCAAACTGGCATATTTAAACTGGCCTTCATAAAGAAGCCACGGATACAGGTGCTTGAGCTGCCCTTTGTCAACAACAGACTCAGCATGATTATTCTGCTTCCAGTAGGCAAGGCTAAGCTAGAACAGGTAAAGTGACGAAACCACTAACAGGTAGCTAAAGCGACATGCACTGTCTCTCCAGTGCCCTTAGCGTAGTCCGTCTCTGATTCATCCACGTCTGGGCTTAGCAGTGTTGTCCGAGGGACTGTGGGGGGTGGGGGGGAAATGGGGAGGCGAATACCTAGTCCCTGCCATTGAAGATAATGTGTTTAGGGAGAACAAGCTATTCCTCTGTGAAGAAAAAGACACAAGAAAGCAAAAGTGCCGTCCTGTGCGAATTTATGAAAACACCCATGTGCAGAAAGTCTGAAGGTACAAACACACCCACATATTGGTCGTCTGACTCTTGGAGACATCTTTCTATAGTGAAGCAACTCTAGAGCTGGTTGGGCTCCAGGTCCACAGAAATCTGACAAGCCGTCTTAATTTCAGGGGCAGAATATCTGATCCAGTTGTAACATGCTTTTGTGGGCTACCCACCCTTTTTAGCATCCTGGTTTTGTGGGAAAATGAGCTTCATAGCACTTGAGAAGAGGTGTGGTGGGGGCAGGAGTCTGGGTCTAGTGTCCTGTCCCTGGCTGTAGCTGTTTTATTATAAAACAGAGATGAGGAGTAGACAGTAGAAAAGAGGAGGTGTGCCTAAATGCAAACTTTCTCTTTCAGCTAGGTAAGTTTTGAGCACATTTTAAAGGTAAAAAGAAAGGGATGGAATGAAACTATTCTCGTTGAGCATTATCAAAATGATCAGCATCCAATGTAGAGACCCGTGGTTTGTCTCGTCTGGGCTCATTTATATTTTGTCCCCTAGATCGAAAAAGAGCTGAACCTGAAGACATTTCAAGAGTGGACCAGTTCTTCCAATATGATGGAAAAAGAAGTTGAAGTGTATATTCCCCGATTCAAACTTGAAATCAAGTATGAGTTAAATTCTCTGTTGAAATCACTAGGGATGACAGATATCTTTGACCAGACCAAAGCTGATCTTTCTAGAATGTCACCAGCTAAGAACCTGTATTTATCAAAGGTCATCCACAAGTCGTATGTGGATGTCAACGAGGAGGGTACTGAGGCTGCAGCGGCCACTGGGAACATCGTGGTAGTAAAAAATGTCCCCATGCGAGCTCAGTTCATGGCCAATCGCCCCTTCCTGTTCTTCATAAAGCACACTCGTACCAACATGATTCTCTTTTTCGGCAAGCTCGCCTCTCCATAAGCAAATGGGGTTGGGCAAGGCTCAGAGTCACAGAGGAGGTACAGGGGCAAACATGGCCAAACAACCAGTTCACTCTCATTTGAACTTCACATACCTCTGTACCTCAGTTTGCTCTTCTCAAAAATGGGTCTAGGATCTCCTCCAACTTATTCTATAAATTGGTGAACTCTAAGATTATGGTGGAAACCCTGGTGGTGTAGTGGTTAAGTGCTACGGCTGCTAACCAAAAGGTCAGCAGTTCAAATCCACCAGGTGCTCCTTGGAAACTCCATGGGGCAGTTCTACTCTGTCATATAGGGTCACTGTGAGTCGGAATCGACTCGAGGGCAATGGGTTTTTTTTTTTTTTGGAAGATTATGGTAACCATGGAAAAAAGTACATTTACTCAAAAGGCTTTTGTGGCTTTCTTATATTGGGGCCTCATTTGAGGACTCTCTCAGTGACATGATCAAGGCAATCAAAAGAAAGTTTAAAAGATGAGATATTCTTGACTCTTATATGTCAGTGAGATCTTGAATAAGCAAACCAGTCTGCCTTCAGAAAACCAGTCTGAAAGTTTCAACTTTGGATGGATTAAAAAAAAAAAAAATCGTTTTGTTTTTATGTGTAAATGTAATACTTGGATTTTAGTTCAAAATTCTGTATTGACTATCATGAACGTATGAAATGCCTTAATCTCTTTGAAGTCTTTTAATGCACATATTAAAGGAGAATTTGAATAAAGATAAGCCTAATTTAGTGACTTTGTCTCACGTACTTTGGACATGGTATTAGGAGGGACCAGTCCCTGGAGATGGACATCATGCTTGGTAAGGTAGAGGGTCAGCAAAAAAGAGCAAGACCCTCAATGAGATGGACTGACACAGTAGCTGTAACAATGGGCTCAAACATAGCGACGGTTGTGAGGATGACACAGGATAGAACAGTGTTTCATTCTGTTGTACATAGGGTCGCTATGAATCGGAACCTAACAACAATTGAGCATTTTAGCAGAATTTTTGGCCACATCTTTGTCAGGCCCTAAATTGAATAATAGCTTTTTTTCTGTTTTATAACGCAGTGAGTAAAAGTTAAGAACAGCAAAAGACAGAAATCTGTGAGAAGATTTTTAAAGAAAGTCCCCTTATTTTCTACTTCCGATAACATGAAGCATAATCAGGTAACTGTGGCCTTAATACATCTGCTGCCTGTTCAGTGTCCTGATGCTTTCTTCCTGAACTCTCAAAGGTCTGAGCCAAGCACAGCAGCTCCACAGTTCTCCCTCCCCAGAACCTCATCCCGGAAGAGACAGTCCAAGGCCCACCCATTGCTTCTCTCCTGAAGGGATAGGCCGCCCTCTTTTATGATTGACAGGATGACAGCCAATGACAGCCTTACCTTTCGCATGGGCATCCTGTAGGAAGAGGCCTACTATATTCTTTAATAAAGATATCATAAAGTAGCAAACAAAACAAACAAACGCCAAACCCGTTGCCATCAAGTCTGACTCATAGCGACCCTACAGAACACAGTCGAACTGCCCCGTAGAGTTTCCAAGGAGCTGCTGGTGGATTCGAATTACCGACCTTTTGGTTAGCATCCATAGCTCTTAACCACTGTGCCACCAAGGCTCAGAAAGAGTCTCCTATCCAAGTGTAACACTAAAGAGTATCTCCTTACGTAGTTGTTGTTAGCTTCTAGTTGCCCCCCCACCCCGACTCAATGCAACCCTATGCACAGCGCGATCTGACCGTTGTGATTCATAGGGTTATTCTTATAATAACATTTAAAATTGCCTTGCAAGACTGGCCTAAGTCTTGCTACGCATGTGCTTCTGATGATCATCTGCCAAGCCCGTTTGTTACATAGCAAAAAAGCCACGAAGCCACCTTGGCCTGCTTCACAGGATAATCCAAGGGTTCCTGGCAAAGCGCATTTAGTAGTGGTGAGAGGGAGAGACATAAAGAAACAATTACGGGTCTAGAAAAAGTCAGAGTGGTTTCCGAGCATATAATTTTTCACCTTAAAACATCCTGAAGAGATAACAGATGAAGACCAGTCAGTCAGTGCTGGGTCCTTGTACGTGGCACCTGGTATGGGCCATGTCCCTGGGTGGTTCAAAAGGTTTGTGCTCAACCACTAACCTGTAAGTTGGCAGTTCAACCCACCCAGCTGCATGGTGGAAATAAAGTCCTGGCGATTTGCTTCCATAAAGATTACAGCCAAGAAAACCCTATAGGGTAGTTCCACTCTGTACTGGATGATATTACCATGCGCTGGAATCAACTGGACAGTGACAGGCTTGGTTTTTGGTTTGGCATGTGACAGGTGGTTGTGTGCAGGCGATCAGAGCCCACGTGGACCGGCACCCTGGATAGGCACCCGTGTCTGAGCTGCATGGGCGCCCTCAGTTTGCCTTCATCGCTGGAACAGCCTCGGAGCGCGCAGTCACAGGCTGCAGTCCCAGCCCTCTGACGCCCTCTTGAATGTGTGGGAAGTGACCTGGAATCATCATTTAGAGTCTAGGCTGGGATTAAGCCACAAAAGGATCAGCGTGGGTGCCGGGCAATGAGACAGGAATTGGAGAGCCGGTGATTAAACCAGCCCTTGAGAGGGGAGGTGGGGGGAGCTGGAGGAGCTCTGACGGGCTGGATTCTTGCTCCCGAGCCTTTATTAGTGTGGAGGCAGGAGCTGTTAACTGTTGGGTGAGGTGGAGGCACAAACTAATTTCACTACTTCAAAGGTCAAACAGAAATTGTGCTTTACCAATGTAACAATACATTAAAGCAGCAGGACTCATGGGATTCAATCACAAAACCATCTTTGTTTTTGCCTCCTCCTCTCCTGTGGTGTAGTGGTTAAGAGCTACGGCTACTAACCAAAAGATAGGCAGTTCGAATCCACTAGACGCTCCTTGGAAACCCTATGGGGCAGTTCTAACCTATCCTATAGGGTAGCTACGAGTCGGAACCGACTCAAAGGCAGTGGGTTTGTTTTTTGTGGTTTTTGTTTTTCTCCCTTTAAACGTGTTCAGTGGGAGAGTCCTTCCCTGGCCGGCTTGGACATGCTGGTCTCCTCCTGACTTGCTGGTCATCACCTCACTCTGAAATAATAGAGTGGCTATGATGGCTTCACATCACACGCTTAGTGTCAATTCTGTTGTTAAAAAATATTTAGGCCCAGATGTGAATCTAAGCCCTTAGTATGACAACAGAATTGTCGTCTGGGACCAGCAATATTAACCTTATCTGGAGCTTGTTAGAAATGCAGACTCTCAGGCCCCATCCCGGACCCACTGACAGGAAACCCATTTAACAAAAGCCCCAGGTGATTCGGGTGCACCTTCAAGTTTAGGAAAGGAGCGCTGGTGCAGCGGTGGTTAAATGCTTGGCTGCTAACCAAAAGGTCAGCAGTTTAATCCACCAGCAGCCCCACAGGAGAAAGATGTGGCAGTCAGCTTCCGTAAAGATTACAGCCTTAGAAACCCTGTGGAGCAATTCTTCTCTGTCCTATAGGGTTGCTATGAGTCTGAATTGACGGGAAAGCAACAGGTTTCAAGTTTGAGAAGCTCTGATCTTAACTACAAACCTGACTGAATGTAAATCTTCTTCTCCTCCCACCCCAGCTGGGGTAGGTACCAGGGACCTAGGATTAGGGCAGGGTGGAAGGGGTGTGGTCTTTTCCTCCTCCCACTGCCTGTCCCTCCCACCAGGGACGGATTACCCAGGAAACAAGAGAAGCAAGTGCTTAGGGCATCAACAAAACAGGGGCACCCAGGTGTCCAAAGCAAAGAGCCATAGATGCCAAGAAGACAGGACATATGGAAAAGCGAGCACTGCAGTGGAAGGGAACTGGCAGGGGACTCAACGAAATTGATGCCATTTTATAAATTTTGTATATGATAACAATTACATTTCCCTTCTCATTGCGGACCCATCAGGTATGACCTCACATTCAGTTTTCTCTCATCGACCACGGAGCAATGCACCAGCAGCACTATAATCACGTGACTAGTGACATAGCTGCTCTGGCGCAAAACAAACCAAAACAGAATGAGCATACCCTGGTCATATGTCAAAATATAAAATAACAAGAACTCTGGAAGGAGAGAAATGATCGAGTTTTATTGAGATTTGTTACAGCTGAAGCCAGGGTAACGCCTGGTAAATACCACATGTACCAAAGTCCAAAAGAGGAGAGGGATCTTTATACAAGAGGGCTGGGGGTTACACACTAGTCACAAGTAAATCTTTCACAATGTCAGTGAATCTATTTTCCATCATACGTTTTCTGGGGGCAAACTGCACAAGTAATTTTTCTGAGAACAATCTCACACAGACTTCTTTTTTGGGGAACGTTTTTATCATTCCCTTCCAGAAACATTCTTATCACTTGCTTAACCATAAACTATAACTTTGTCAGACAAAAGAATCTTTCTGAGAACAGAACATTTTTATCATAGTCTTAAGTAAGTATAGTCACATATTTGTTCACTCAAGGAGGGGTGCACATATTTTGAAAGCAGAAGTAGGGATCGAGGGCCAAACAGGGAGTTTGATTCCTGTGTCAGTCACTTAGTTATGCCAGGCACCTCAGTTTTAAGGTGCTCTTACATAGTACCATGCTCTTTGCAATTGCACTCGCCTCTGTTGGATATCAGCAGTAGTCCAATGAACTGTGAAGATGCAACATCAAAGGATAGAAAGTGAGTGCACAAGTTTTTAAGTATTATTTCCAGATGCGAAACACTCGTGGTGATATGTGAAGGGCTCACCAGCAAACATCATACAACAAACAAATGAAATTATTTGTGACTGCCTTGTAAGAACTATTTCTTTTGACTATCTCAGACCTGAAGAATAAAATTACATGTTCCAAATTCATTTTTTTACTTACTAATTTTCAAATGTAAATTTCTGTGTTAATGTCTAAATTCAAATGTAAATTCTATTTTATAAATTTTACCTGTTTTATAAGTTTATTTTCAATTTTTCAAATTTATTTGCTACAGTGGAAGGTAGAACCAGATTTAAAAAGTGACATGATTTTATATCCACATAAAATGAAATGGCAACAACTAAATGGAGTGCAAAAATGAAAACTCACAGAAGATAAAAAGAAGAGGATTAGTGAATCTCTAAAGACAATTCTAAAATTAACTTCCTTTTGAAAACAGTGATTCAGAAGAGACTTCTGTTGAATGCTCGAGTTTAATAGAGCAATTTGTTGTACTAGTACTGCTAGTGCTGAAATTACTAATGGCAATATGAATATAACAGAATTTGTTCTAAATTCTGCATCCATTCCTTGCTGTAGTAAAAAAATTAAAAATGGTGTAGAAAGTGAAACTTTCTTGGAATCTGAAATTGTCACATCTGCAGACGTCATAAATAACAGAAATACAGATTCTGCTTTGTGGAATAATTTTTCTTTTAATGATGTACGTCGTTGGATTGAAACAGGGCCAAATGATTGTCAACATCACAGTGGACCATTTGAAAATTTGTGTTGAAAATTTCTGGATGGTAAACAAACAAGGCTCTGTAGCCAGAATATATTTCTAAGGCACAAAGCTAATGGTGAAAATTATAAAAGAGAGTAGCTACTGTATTCTCCATCAGCTGGCTTTGTATATTGTTTTGTTTGCAAACTATTCAGTCTTAAACCATTTAATTCTCAATTTGCTACAGATGGATTTAGTGATTGATGCAACTAAATATGATTGATAAACATGAAAACAGTTCAATCCACAGAGATTG